TGGTCAAAGTAAACCTGATAAACCCGTTCCCTAGCAACAGGGGAAGCAGACATAAAGCTTGCCCAGGACCCAGGTCCAAGGGGGCCCCCTGCAGGCCTACCTCTGTAGCCAGGCAAGGGGAAGGCCTGAGAACAGCAGCACTCGCATTGGCCTGCTTTGGGGTGGAAGGGAAAGGAAAGGCGGGCCTACCAAAGCAAGGATCCCTCTCAGCCACCCCCTGACCTGAAAAACACTCCCCCATTAAGGTGTCCACCTGCTCCGTTTCCTTGAGAACTCAAGAACACAGGGGATGTGGCTAAGAGCAGGGGCATGGGGAGGAGGTGGCCACAGTGCTGCCAGGGGCTACTGAGCTCTCTCATTTCTCAAGGCTTCTGTAAACAATTGCCTTGGGCTATACTACGTGCTCAGTAAATCACTTTGGTGATGACAATGAGCTCAGAGACCATTTTTACCAAGAACAGGAATCAGCTCAGCTCATATGGCAGCAGGCATATGGCATCAGCCCCCCCTGGTGGTTGGAGCCAGAGCTGCAGGAACAGCACCAAGCCTCCTTGCACCCGGCAGTGCTGCACCCCAGCTAGCCCTGTCAGGCTGCCTGCTCAGGGGTCCCCAGAGACAACCCGAAAGCAGAGAGGAAACAGCCCAGAAAGGACGCAGTTTAGCCAAGTGAGTGCCGGGGAAGGCAGGTACCTGTGCCATAGTCGATGCGCGTGGAGTTCCCCACTGACTCCTTTAGGTAAACAGCCACCTCAGGCACAGCAGCTGCCAGATGGGTGGGGACCACTGTGGCCACCAAGTTTTCTGCTTCCTGATAACACAAGAGACACAAAGTGGTGGCAGCAGATTATGCAGCATCCTGGTAGGCAAGCGTCCAGGGGCGGCATCTGGCTAGGACCCCGGCTGCTATGCCAGGCGGCCTGGCCCCGACACTGAACTGGCCACAGAAGGAAAAGAAGGGAGAGCATTTATTCTTACAAAACAAAGACTACTCTGGAGTGGCTTTTCATTTGCTGACTCTTCCTCCAGATGACAGGTCCTGGGGGCAAGACAGCAGGGATCTGAAAATAAGGCATTAAACTTTCCCATCTGGTAACTCATCAACATCCCCTAGATGTCGTCTTTCTTCATGCTCCCAGCAAGGGAGTTTGTGCCATATGCCCATCAAAGGATGTATGCAAGGATGTTCATAGCAGACTTATACTGTAGCCAAAACATGAAAACAACCCACAATTGAAATGTCCATCAACAATAGAATGGATAAATTGTGCTATGTTCACACAATGGAATACTATGCAGCAATGAAAAAGATCTGCTGCTATACACAACAATATGGATGAATCAGACAGACATACCATTGGGTAAAATAAGCCAGACATTTATATGAAGTTCAAAAAATGTCAAAAGAGCTGGGAAGTTATCAACTAGGAGGGGCACAAGGGTCCTGCTTAAGTGCTGGAATGTTCTATAGCTTAATATGGGTGGTGGGTGCAAGGATAAATATACATTAAGGGTAAAAATATAGTAAGGGCAAAAATACATTAAGCTGTACAGCTATAATATGTCAGCTTTAAGTTATCCTATATAATAAAAGCCTAATATGCAAATTGTCCCTTCAACCGGGAGTTGGACCACTCGCTATGATGTACGCTGACCACCAGGGGGCGGCATGGAACATGGTGGGCATCTGCGACGTGGTGCTGGCAGTGGGCGGCAGTGCCAGCCCTGATGGACCCCAATGAGAGCGGGACCGTGGCAGGATGGAGCAGGTGAGCGGGCAGCACCAGGCCAAGGTGGGTGCAAGTGGGGCCCGATCGTCCCACCCATTGCTCAGCAGACAGTGACCAGCAGCGGCAGTGGGGGGCAGGGCCACTGCCTGGGTCCCAGGCACTGAGGGAGCCAGGCGGGGCCCGGTCACTCCGCCAAACGCCCTGAAAATGGCAATCAGCGGCAGTGGGGGCGGGGGGCGGGGCCACTGCCTGGCTCCCAAGTGCTGAGGGAGCCGGGCAGGGGCCCAATGGCTCAGGTGGAAGCAGGCATGCAGGGCCCAAGGGCCCAGGTACTGCCCAGGGCCAAGAAGTCAGCTCGGACCTGCCCTTCCATGCTAGATGCTCACGCTTTGATCACCGGCCAGGCCTAGGGACTGTACTTGTGCACGAATTTTGTGCACCAGGTCTCTAGTAAACTCTATAAAAATCTTTGAAAAAACAACTCAAGCCCATGTGCCATCTTAGAATCCAGAGGCATCCGAGCTACTCTTAGGGAAGGAAAGCATTTTGCTGGGTCCTTGGAGCCCCCTCTGCTCCACGTGAAAACCCCAGGCCAGAGAAATGAGAACCCAAGCTCGCACGGTCAGTGTGTGGACACCTGGCCTGAGAATCTCCTGGAGACCCGGTGAAAATCCGGGTTCTCAGACCCCATCTGGACTGACAGGCTGCTTTTCTGAGGATGGGGCTGCAATCCTGCATTTTGTTTGTTTGCTTTGAACAGGAATCACCTTCATATGATTAAAGAATAAGCAGGTGATAAAAGGGATGCACTGAGAAGGCCCACTCCACCCCTGTCCCCCCCACCCTCCTTTCCCTTGCCCCCCAAAAGAAACCACAGCTTTATTTGCCTTTTGTGTATCCTTCAGTGATGTTTCCCTGTGCAAACTGGGCAATACAAACATACTTTTTGTTTCTCCCTCTTTCTAACCAAAAGGCAGCTTGCAATATGCATCATAGGCCTGGCTGCTCTTCAACCTGACAGTAGACCGCAGTCCCTTCCCTCAGTTCCCTAGTGGGACTCCTTATTCCTCCTTACAGCTGCACAGTGCTCCGGAGGCGGAGGCACTACTTTATTTAACTGATCCCCTGCAGACGGACACCCCGGGTGTTTCGATCAATTGCCTACTAAACAGCCCTGTGCAGAGAACATGGCATCCACATGGTCATTCCCAGAGGGTGGCTAAATGCATCTGTACTTTTGTAAATGGAACTGCCATCTTAACAAACTCCCAGTGATCCTGGTATGCCTGAAAGCTCCCTCCAGCCCAGCCCCAGCCTGTCTGTGACGGCCTCACCTGGTCAAGTCTGGCATACCAGGTCCTGAAGGCCTTGTTCCCAAATCGAGAGGGCTGGTCCACTGGTGGAGTCTCATCAATCCACCTGTCCAGAGTGTTGAGAAGAGCGACCAGTTTCTCAATGGCCTGTGGAGGCAAAACAGAGGAGCAGGGCGCAATGACCAAGCTAGAGCCAGAGGGAACCCCCACGGTTGCTGAACAGTGACCCCAAGACATGGTGCTACCTGGCTTCCTCCTTGCGGTGCCCCTTCCAAACACAGGGTATGAAAGAGAGGCCAGGGGAGCAGAGTGAGCGTTCCGGAAAGGGACCAGCACCAGGCTGAAGGGACAAGGGTGGCTGCAGCAGCTGGTTCTCTGACTAGCCTCAAGGAGCTGTTGGACAAGCACGAACTGCAGTCCTGACCTTCTTTTTTGTTTTTTAAATATATTTGTATTGATTTCAGAGAGGAAGGAAGCGGGGGGGGAAGACATCAATGAGAGAGAGAATCACTGATCAGCTGCCCCCCACATGCCCCACACACTGGGGATCGAGCCAGCAACCTGTGCATATGCCCTGACTAGGAATTGAACCATGACCTCCAGGTTCATAGGTCAATGCTAAACCACTGAGTCACGCCAGCTGAGCAAACCTGACCTTTTTCACTAGAATCAGTGTGGTCTTCTATTTAGTACATCACACCTCCTCACCACAGAAAACAGAAATGTAAAAGGAAGAAAACAAAAATGACCAGTAATCCTAACACCCAGAAATAAGCATTATTTACTTTTTAACATACTCTTCATATTTTTCCAGTGTTTTCTATTGCTTATCATGGTGACAATTTTGAAGGCAACTGGACCGATTCAGAAAACACCATTTAGTTGCCACAGATCTTGAGCCAGTGACTTGAACGCTCTGTGCCTATTTCTTCATCTTAAAGTGGGTATGCTGATAGATACCTCTCGAGGCTGTCATGAGAACTGAATAACACCCCATGAAGGATGCCTGCTGCAGTGCAGGCACAAGGTGATGGTGTATGATTACACAAGCTCTAAACATGGGTCACAGGGCACACGCGGCTTTGTAGCCTGCTATTTCCTCATGAACCTCATTCCACATCATATGTAAATATGACTTTACAATAACCTCTAGTAAGTGACTAAGACTTCATTGTGCCAGTGAACTACAATTTACTGAATCCCTCACTGTGAAACGTTTGGATTCTTTTCAACCGTTCACTACCACAGATAGCCTGAGATAAACAACCTGGCAGCTCATCCTCCGTGAAAATGCTGGTCAAAGGTAGCAGCGTGGGTAATGCCTTGTAGGACCACAGGTGTTCAAGATCCCGTCCCTCATCCCCGCTTTTCCCACGGAGGGCCGGGACTAAGAGTGGAATCGGTGTCACAGGCCAGGGCCACATGAGCACACAGTGTTACTCAATGAGAAATTAGGTGAGGCTGACTATCCGAGACACAGGCCTGTGAGGACGGTGAGAAAGGGCTCCTTGCAAATGAGGCTGACAGAGTGGGCCACATGAGGGGCGACGAAAGGCGCAGGGAGAACATGATACAGAAGACATTCCAAGTCAGGTGGCCCTGGGAGGAAGGAGCCTGCCAAAAGGAGGGTCGTGCCTGTGTCTACTGGGCAGAACAGTCTAAGGCAGCGGTCGCCAACCTTTCGGACCTCACGGACCACCAGTGGTCCATGGACCACGGGTTGGCAACCGCTGGTCTAAGGAGATGCCTCCAGAGCTCCTGGCACTGATAGGAACTAGCAGGGTGGTGCCCACAGAAAAAGTTGTGATGAGGGCAAGGCATGGTCAGGTCTGCCATGCAGAGACGCTTCCCAAGAGCTGTGTGTGTACTTGGAGGTGGGTGGGTGGGGAGGCGGGCTTGAGCTAATGGTATACGTGTTAGCCAATGCCCCCCTGTAGAGCTCCAGGAGGCAGGAATCACATTGCTATCCCTGTAAGTGGTGCCTCCTGTCATTGTGCAACATGGCAACGGCCTTCGTCACCCTGTTCCCTATGCTTGAGGCCTAGGAGGAGAAACGTACCCGTAGAGGACAAAGCTCCCTTTATGCTTGCCTGAAGCAGGGGCCTGGTGACATAAGTCTGCCTCGCTGAAATGTGGCAGAAAGTGCTGTCAGAACCTGTCTTTGTGAAGAACCAGGTCACCAGGAACACTGATAACAGGGACAGAGCAAACCTGACCTGGGACTGAGGAGGATGCTGCAATAGTCCTGGCCGGGAAGCACCCACAAGCCCGTCCAGAGATGTCAATCTCTGGTGACACACGGAGGAGGATTAAGAAGGTGCTCCAGGTCCAGCAGCCCGGCTGACCAGTGAACAGTGGAAAGGCTCCGAGATCCTTTCTGCAGACGGCTTTTCAACTGGGGGTGGGAGGCCTCTACTGTTTGGCTAGTTGGGGGAAAGGTTAGAGGAGAGAGAACTGTGGGCTTGTACCTGAAAACACAAAGAATACATTGAGCTGCACTTCTCCCTAATCCAATGCTTTCTTTTTGGATTTCATGGACAAGTAAAATTTTGGAGACATTTTCTATTTTGCTCTCGTTTTAAAAATCAAACAGAACAACAGTAAAAAAATAAGTAAAGAGAAGACTTATCTATCATCTTTATTTTGCAAAAATCAAAAATTCTAACCCAAAGGACAGACATAATCTCAAAACGAAGGAGAGCCTCTAAACACGGACATAGACAAGCCCACGTCACCCTGGCTTGCTCCTTGCCATAGGCAGTCTGGAAGCCGCCACCCAGACCACTGAGCCCTCCCCCAGCTGCAACTGCCATTCCTGTAGTGGGAGGCAGCAGTGAGAAGAATCAGGAGACCTACGGAACCAAGCAGAAGACAGCTGGGTGGTACGTCAGAACATGGGCCCCTTCCCAAGTTCCAACTGCACCTCCCGCCCTGGGGCCTATCATGGAGGCCATCTGTGAGTGTGCTGTGGCCTTGGGAGCCTGGCCAGCTCCTCAGTAAAGGAATGGCCAAAAAGAAGCTGTTACCGGATGTGAGCCGGATAGTAAACAGCTGGCATTTTTAGCTCACCGTTTGCTTTGTTTTTGTTTGTTAATCTTTATCCAAGGACTTCACTTTCATTTATGCTTTTTAAAGAGAGTGAGGAGGAAAAGAGAGAGAGAAACAGAGAGAGAGAGAGAGAGAGAGAGAGAGAGAGAGAAATATTAATGTGACACACATCCTGCACATGCCCCCTGGCCGGGGATCAAACCTGCAAACCAGGTTCATGCCCTTGACTAGGATTCAAACCTGAGACCCTTGGTGGGTGGGCTGACTCTAACCACTGAGCTACTGGCCAGGCTGCTGTTTTCTGTACCCTACACAGCCCTGTACTGACAAAGCCTGTGTTGCAGAGACATCACTGACAGGCCGCCCCTGTACACACATAGTCCTGATAATATCATGTCTTTCACAGCCAGTCCTCTGGGTTATTTATTTGGAATTGGCAAGCAATACTCTGAGGCCTTCTCGGACCTCAGCTCTTTGCAGAACACAGCTCCCATCCGTGGGCCAAGGCCACTTCCTGTGAGCTGTGTCTCCTGCTGACCCTGCCAGCTGTGGGCAGAATCGGGGAGCCCGCTGGAGACTAGTCACCTCTGTGCACTGAGTGGGGAGCAGCCCACTCCCCCTGGTGCTGGGATGAACCCCAGCTCAGAAAGAGCCCGAACTGAAGCAACAACACTACTGGAAATTAGAAATACAAAACAGCTAACGCTTACAATCTATATAATAAAAGGCTAATATGCAAACTGACCGAATGGTGGAACGATCTGTCGCCATGATGTGCACTGACCATCAGGAGGCAGATACTTAACACAGGAGCTGCCCCCTGGTGGTCAGTGCACTCCCACAGGGGGAGCACCGCTCAGCCAGAGGCTGGGCTCAAGGTGAGCGCTGTGGCGGTGGCAGGAGCCTCTCCCGCCTCTGCGGCAGCGCTAAGGATGTCCAACTGCTAGCTTAGGCTAAGCCGTCAGTCAAAGATCCCAAGGGCTCCCAAACTACAAGAGGGCACAAGCCCAGGCTGAGGGAAGCACACACCCCACCCCCGCTGCAGTGCACAAATTTTGTGCACTGAGCTTCTAGTAGCTAATAATGATAATGTCATTTGTCCGTGCCAGGTCCTGTGCAAAACCACCCTACATATGGGATCTTAGCAGATCCCACCCAGGGGCCATGAGTAGGTCTGTGGCTCTTCCCACTCTACATATGAGGACAGAGCTTCACAGGAAACAAGGTCGCTCAGCTTAGAAGTGAAAGGTTATGAAAACCTGGTCAGCCTGACTCCAGACTCAGGCACTTAACCACGCTGCAACTCTGCCAAAAGAACAGTCCTGTGCCAAGACAACACCTGGCTGGTGTGGCCTGCTACCATCAAAGCCTCAGAGGCAATTAAGGGACCTGGGAGGGATTTGGCAGCTCAGAATCTGCTGGGGTAATTATAACATGCCCTTTAACTAGCCTTCCCACCACATTCCCCAACCCACTGAGCAGAGCAGAGCATCTCTTGCCACAGGCTCAGAGGAGCCCGCTCCCCCATCCCCTGCACCTGGGCCTCCAGTCCCGGAGCACTGAGTGGGCCAGCTCCCAGGAGAAGACTGGCAATCCCCAGCACTGGCTCCCCTCCAGTGACAGGAGGACCTCGGCCACCCAGCAGCCAGTTAGGGCCAATGTGAGCCTCAGCCAGGTGGAGACTGGGTCAGGCCGAGGCTACAGCTAGAGAGCTGGGCCGGACAAGACACTGAGAGAGGCTCCTCAGGCCCTGGTGTCTCAGATAAGAGGCTCAAGGTGGTTCTGGGCCAACTGGGACAGGAATCCAAAAGGCCACTGGCGGCCTCCAGCAGAGCAAACAACTACAGGACCACACCTTCCCGGGGTATCAGCCTCCCCACAGCTCTCGCCCTCCCTCCGCAAATAAGCCTGTCTCTGAAACCCAGCCAAAGAGCACCCACCTAGCAGTGTGCCCTTCAACTCAATGTTTCCACTCCTAGACGTGGAAATAACGCCAACACATGTAGGTGCAAGGATATTCAGAGCAGCAATGTTTAGGGACACAACCTAAAAGTCTACAGTTAGGGGACTGTTTAAACCAATGAGGGCATGGCTCAGTGAGGCAGCCATTCCCATGCAGGAGAGGATGAGCTCACAGGGCAGGTCTGGATGACACGCCCCCAGCTGTTAACCGTCAGCTACAAGAGGGAAGACAGCAAGAGGCCAGGGCTAACGTCACACACGTTTCTCAGTAATCTCTTCAGAGGGCACGGTTACTTCTTTTGTGATCTCTTTTGACTTAACATGTATATAAACAAACCAGTTAGCAAAAATGCAGCTATACAATGGCATCTTTACCTCGGTCCAATTTTCTATTCACAGATTTAAAAAGTGTGAGAAGTATAGATACAAAAATGTCAACTGCACCTGTGTTTGAATGATGTCATTTTCTGCACTGGCCCCGCTGTGGGCAATGAGCACACAGGACTCCATGGAGCTATTTCTGGAAGGCCCTGCCACAGCAGGCACCCTGCCCATGCCTACCTCAGAGACTTTGTACTCGAAGGTCAGCTTCTTCCCCTTCACACCTTCGTTGAGGGTAAGGATGAATCCGATGTAGTCGGCGTATGCCTACCAAACGGGAGGAGGACAGTGGGATGTGGAAAGGGCTGTCAGACCCCCACTCTCTCTATACCCCAGCTGCACCCAGTTACCAAAATGCTCCAAGCTGCCGCTGGCTCCCAACCAGGTAGCAGGAGCAGTAGAAAGATAATGTCAAATACCCCACCCTCCCCCTCCATCCCACACCACTTGCAAGCCAATGACACCTGGGCATCCAGCCAGAATTTACTGTGTGCTCACAGTAAATACCGGCAGTTTCTTTACACAACAGCCCAGGAGCTAGCACTATCACTGACCCCATTCTACAGGGGAGAAAACCAAGGCTTCGGGAGAGTGACTTGCCCAACGTCTCCTAAGACCAAGATCTCAGTAGATGTGGAGCCGGACCCAGCCAACCAAACTCCACTGTACTACACGACCAGGAGCCCAAGGAACCCACCCAGGGCCCTCTCCCTGCTCATATTCCAGACGGTTCCCCGCCGGCTGTCTGCCTTGGTGCAATGCCCGCGCGCAGGAGAAGTGTCTTCTGCCCATGGCCGGGTCTCTCAGCACACCCATCCCCGGGTCCCGCTGGGCACTCTCGTCCCTGTTGGGCTGCAGGGTGCACCCAGCGTGGGGATAGAAAAGCGCTGAGGCACAGGCCCTGGAGGGGCGGTTCCTGGGAACAGGGACTGCTCAGTCTTGTTTCTTCATCATCCCTCTGCCCCTCGCTTTCTTCCTTCCTCCTTATCTCAGCCTAAAGGGTACCAGCCCCAGATGCGTCCTGAGAACCCACCACTCAGTGTCTAGAGGGGGGTGTTCTATAGCAGGTCCTCTTGCCAGCCTAGGAATGGCTGCAGGCGGGCGTGGGGGACAGCACCTAAAGCAACTCCCCTGGCCCAGGGCAAGCCTGAGCCTCATTCTGACTGCCTCTGCAAAGCACACTGGGATGCAAGGAGAGGCGGGAGCAAGGGGCAGGGGCATCCTCCACAGTCCCTGCTCCTGTGTGGGTCCGAGTCTCTTGGTGACTAAAACTCAGGACATTCTAACAAAGGTAACTGTGTACAGTCTCTACAGATGCCACCACCACCACCACCATCATTGTCGTCGTCATCACGAGAGCATCGGTCAGCATGCACATCAGGAGAGAAAGTGACCAACACTTCCCTAATATGTTGGTGCCTCGAGCAGGACGGGCACACTTTGACGACAACGGGCCAGACAGTAAATGCTTCAGGCTCCCTGGACCACACAGCTCTGCCCGTCGTGTGACAGCAGCCCGGACAACAGGCACACGGACGAGTGCGGCTGTGCGCCAACAAAACTGTATTTACAGAAACAGGCGGAGAGCCAGCTTCGTCTGGCAGGCATCATTTGCCAACCTGTGGCCTAGGCCCGTGGTCGGCAAACTGCGGCTCGCGAGCCACATGCGGCTCTTTGGCCCCTTGAGTGTGGCTCTTCCTAAGCCGTAGGAGTACCCTAATTAAGTTAATAACAGTGTACCTACCTATATAGTTTAAGTTTAAAAAATGTGGCTCTCAAAAGAAATTCCAATCGTTGTCCTGTGGATATGTGGCTCTGCTGACTGATGAGTTTGCCGGCCACGGCCTAGAGCAGTGTAAGCACAGCAGACTCCTCACCGGAAACCTGCCAAGCCTGCCCCTTCTCTACAAGGGACACTCCCCACCCCAGCTGACCAGACCGGCGCCGGGCTGGAGCTGGACCCAAGGCCTTCCCTGGGAATGTGGACTTGGCTCTTTCTCTCAGTCCGTCTTTCCGCAGCCTGACACAGCGGGAGGGACACGCCGTTATCTTCTGCAGCCCAGAAAGCTGGTCTGCCCAAGAGTGCTCTGGGCCCCAGTTCCCAGGGGTTTTTAGCTCAGTCACTTCCCTGGCCTCGGTTTTCATGTAATAACCTCCCCTCCCTTTGATATACTGCTCCCCAACTTGCTGTTACTTGTAACCAAGAATCACGTAACACACTCCTTCATTTGGGACACTCATGTTCAGCCAATACAACTCTCAAGGGGCGACGGTGTATGAGAACCAGGAGCACGATCTGTAGGGTTACTCTGGCCCCGGCCCCCAGAGATCTTCCCACTGCCCCTGACGGGAGGGACAGTCATCTCCTGTCACCTCTCTTCCTAGCTTCTAAGAGCTGTGGCTCCAAGGGCGTGAGGGTCAGGAGCTCACAGCCCATCATTTCCAGAAAACCAGTATCTCTGAAAAAGCCCCCGTTTCTCCTCTTAGCTCTGACCCTGCAGGGAAGACCCCACTGGTACCTGAGAACGCTTCCATTTACCCATGTCCGGAACTGTGTGGATCTCCTTTTTCGGAATGATAAAGCTCTGAGTGGCTGGAGGGGTCTCCTCTGGAGAATCTTGACCAAGAAAACAAAAAAGCAAACAAATAAATAGAAACCCTTCCAAACACACACACACTTTTAAACCAAGACTCCAACACCCAAGCCCCAGTGTAAACCAGACACAGACTCCCAGGACAGAGTATTTAAACCAAACCCACTGGCCCCCTGACTTTCCTTTCTCTGCAAGGAAAACAAGGTATCAGTTGGTGAGGGAGAAGCCCAGGGGACCTAAGGAGCAGGCTAGGGAACCTGAGATAAGAGCAAAGCAAACTCTACCTAATCCGAATCCAAACCAGCGCCCAAGAAAGAGACCAGAAACTCTCTTCCTCCTCCCACCTGTTCTGCAAGCCCTGCTCCCAGGACCCAACACTGAGACCCCCTCCTCAGATGCTAAATAGAAAGCTTTGTAGGTCAGGCTAGTAACCCAACCACACTGTCTTTACGGGAAATGTGCTCCACGTTCCAAATCATCAACTTGCAATGATCTTTGGGAACAGAGCCCTTCTGTACATCGGAGAACTGTTCCCCGCAAGGGGACAGTCCCCCTGACATTGTTTCACAGAGAGGAAAACCTCCAGGCCAGGCCCTGTTACCAGGGGAAAGGTTACCCTATAGGAAGCATTGCAACAAATCACTGATGCAACACACAAGTTGCCAGAACACACAATCCCAAGTCAGAAAAGCAAGCCTTCTGACACAGGCCTGCGACAAATGAAGTCAGACCCACAGTCTCTCCAGCCTCAAGGTTCTGCCTCTGACAAAGGGACCGCCGGACGTTGGATCCCCTAAAACCTCTCGGTATAAGATGGAAACATATAAAGTGTTAGAGATGTCCCTAACCGCGCCCCCTCGCCCTGAAAGTGTAATGTAGCATCATCTACCACTTGGGAACCAGTCCACGTGTTCAACTTGTACCACCTTTGAGAAGGATCACAGGAACCCACACTGACTTAACTGCCATGTCCCAGGCGCTGCCCACATCCTCTGTGGACACACACGGCAGCCCTATGCAGGCGTAGCCTCAGGTTTAAGAACTAAGGGAACCGGCTCACAGGGGCTGGGACTTGCCAGCAGAGCGAGGTCCGGGTACCTCCAGAAGCCCAGGTGTTCACCCTACACCGAGGGAAGCAGTTCCCTCCACTTGTCCCAAAACGCCCTGCTTCAAACTTCCAAGAAGGGCCACACGCCGGGAGCCTGGATCCTCCAGCATCGCCGACCTCCCGGGCCTTCATCTCGTTCATGCACAGGTTCTCCCCCACCCACCACCCGTCTTCAGGGACACATCTCACAGGGAATTCTTATTGAGAATGCCTTCTATCTCCCGATGCCATTACCAGAACTTCTGAGGCAGCTGGAGGGAGGTGGGGGGGGGGGAGTTGGGGGGACACTCAGCCGGGGGACCATATAAGGTCCCAGAAATCATTTGGTCCGGCCCTGCCTAGCCATCAGGGGTGAGTTAATTAAATGTTTGGCCACACAGAGCAGGCTAATTTTTAAGCTGATTAATGTGTATGGCCCCTATCAGTGGTTCTCAACCTTCTGGCCCTTTAAATACAGTTCTTCATGTTGTGACCCAACCATAAAATTACTTTCGTTGCTACTTCATAACAGTCATGTTGCTACTGTTCTGAATTGTAATGTAAAAATCTGATATGCAGGATGGTCTTAGGCCACACGCACAGAAGTTTTGTGTTAAACAAAGTAATATCTGGTTGCATGCCCTAGGAGATCACACCCAGGTCTTTATTCGTCTTTGTTTTTTGTTTTCTTTTTCTTTTTTTTGCAGGGTGGGAGGCTTGTAGGGGAGGGACTCTTGATCTTGAACATTTCTGAGACCTTCCCAGGGATCACAAAATGTAAGGCAGGGTGGAAGGAATAGCAGATGCTTTCCAAACCCTAGCTGTGTGTTTGGCTAACCTATTTGCTCCTGCCATAATTTTAAAAGTCTTCTTAGCTCAAGGTGGTAGTGAGGGGTGTCAGCAGCACCCCCACCCTCACCCCCAGGCCGTTCTCCAGGTTGCAGGCCTCTATCCCTAGCACCTCCACCCCCAGCTACTCGAGTGAACTTGAAAGAGGCCGCGGTGCAAATAAAAGTCGCAGATGGTGACGCCAGGGAGAGGCGCATCTCCTTGCACAACCAGCCTTTTTAAATGCGTGGTTTAGGCGACCGAGAGCGGTTTCTCTCAATAAATTCGCAGCCACCGAAACTCCCGAGGCCGGCCTCCCAGAGGGAGGGAGAAGTGGGGGTGCGGGGGACCGGGCGTGGAGGCAGCTGGGGATGGGGTCCAGCTGGGAATGGGGTCCAGCAGGCCCAGCCCACGGGGCACCCCTCCCGCTGAGCAGGGTCGGCATAACGACGGCAGCCCCGTCCATGCATCCTACCCGCTGGATAAGGGTGACCTGGGTCCGAGCAGCCCGGGCGTGGAAAGGCCCCGCTCTCGCCGAGGCGTGGCCCACCGG